TTGTAAAAATCGGCGACACACTTTTAAAACCAGAAATTAAATTAGTTGAGAAATTTGGAGCCTAGGCAAAGAATGCGAAGCTTCTGGGGTGTAGGAACAAGCGAAGACCACGTTAAAATATTTAAGAGGCAACCTTAAGTCTCTCTGCCTACCTCCCTCCGCTACCTAATGCTCACTTCCTCGTTGGAGGCACCCCTTTTCTTGTTCTGCTGCTTCTCCTCCCAAACCCCCGCAACCACCTGGGGGCCCCCAATCTTGAAGGGCACTTCCGTTAAAGGGATAGGGAATGGCGCCATTGAGAGTTTGGCTGGGTAGGGCTTTAACAAATCGATAGACTTGATAAGACGAACCGGAACTTGAGAGCATAGCGCTTTAACGATAATCTCAATCGAAACTAGCTGTCTATAATTAGATATTGTTCATCCAACCGGCGACGTCTCGCCGGCATAATTTCTATAGTATGCCAATCGCAGCATCGCCTGCGCCACCTCATCACAGATTCCACCCTCGCTCGGCGCTATTTTTGGCATTAGGGGCAAGCCGTTCAGAATTTTGAGGGTGGGACAGGATTTTATCTTTGCAAGTTATTTAGAGGATTGTCGCTTCAACAGTTAGGTTTAGGTTTGGGCTCAGGCTTGGTTGAGGCATTGGCTTAGGCTTAGGATAGGTTTGGGCTTAGGCATAGGCATGGGCTTAGACTTGTCTTGAGCGTAAGCGTATTTTTTGACGTGAGCTTAAGTTTAGGCATAGTACTGGGCTAGGTATAGTACAGGCCACTTAAATTTAGCGTATACTTCGAATTCGGGCTCAGGAGGTCGCGTATGCGTGCATTCCAAGTCGCACTTCCCCCAACCCATTTTGCCTACCCAAATGTTTTGTAATCCGGCGGCAGTTTTTGGGTGCTGCTCATCGCTTTCCGAATGTTGGTCGAGTTTTGCCCCCCGGGGCTGGTGAGATGCGCCCGAAATTGATTAGGCTCGAATGGCAGAGACGAGACGCACGACACTCGGCACCGAGTAATAGACGGATTTGGGGAGAGAGCAGCGGAATGTGGCCAAACCGGGCAGGCAGCTTTTGGAAATAGGGCTCCGAGGGCCTGGAGTAAGGTTAGCCGTGTCGTCCGGAGCCCGAAAATTCGGGCCCACAGCCAAAATAGTGGGGTCTCTGCCGGTGGTGCGGGGTTGAGGGGCCCTTCCGAATGGCCCAACGCACACCTCCACACCCGCCCTCGACCCCGATGGGGGACCCAGGAAGGGGCCGCTGTCGACTTCTCGATGGCTTCAGCCTCAAGAAGGGTCTCTAAGGCTCTAAGGCTGGGCTTTTTTTATGGAAAATGGCCTTCAGAATGGGGGCGACAGGGCGACGGGCCAAAGACCTGTGCCTGGAAATGGGCGCCAAGCCATTGGAATAATGCACTTGCTAATTTGGTTCGTGGCGCATTGAGTAACACCTCGTGGAAAAATCCAGGTCGGATTTTTGGTGGGTTGGAACGCCAATTTGGTTGATAGGCTTGAGAAAGCGGCTAGAATCATATGGCGATTTTTTTCAGGTGGCCTAAAGCATCACCAATTATAGAAAAATTTGAGAAATTATGACGCAGAATAATTTCAATTTAAACTTGAGCGGCAAGCCTAAACTTAATCCCTAAGCCTAACCCTAAGCCCAAACCTAATTCTAAGCCTAGACCGAAGCCAAAGCCTAAGCCCAATCGTAAGCCTTAGCTTATCACCGCTACGTCTAACAGTAGAGTGTTTTTGACCAGTATATAAAACACAAATAAGTGGCCTAATCTGAACGAGGTCCAACCGTCGTAAAGCGCGCCATATGTTCCGTTAAAGAAAGTTGATACACTGAATCTCCTTTAATAAAAGAAAGCCAATCACGAAGTCAAAACGGAACGGGCAAAAATCACAACCCTTTGGCTACGGTATTGGGTACACAACGCGGCAGCAGGGCCCAAAGTGATGAGCGAAACGTCCAATGCGAAAGGATGGCCAATGCAAAGAACGCTGATGATCAGCCGTGAGAAAAAACTGGGTCCTCGTGGTCGTGGCCACAGAGGGAGAAGCCGCCAAATGGGATGGAAAAGACGGACAGCCGGGTGGATGGAAGGGAATGTTTGAAACCAGCGGCCGGTAGACGGCAAACACTGCGGCAAGCAGACGCAACGCTTTCACGGCGCCACCCACACGCAAATGCAACAGTCGTTGAACCGGGAAGGTGAACCGGCTGAAAAAGGTCTAAAATTCTTTCGCGGGTTGACACACAAATTTGTTTTTGTGTGCATGATCGGGTGAGTATCAAGCCACTCGACCCAAAAGTTTTGTTCACAACGCTTAGCGCGAAGCCTAAGCCTAACCTAAGCCCCCGCAAAAAGCACGCTCAATGTACCAAACCAGCTTAATCAAACTTAAAAGGAAGCCCAAAAAAAGACCAAAAAGTCAGGAAATAGGAAAAAAATTGGGCTTCCAGAAAACTTCTCAAAAACAAAACTCCGAATCCCAGTCTATCCGCATAATAATGGGGCAACTTAAACAGAGGGCGGAAGGGTGATGACCATAAATCCGGGGGTGCAAAGGCGAGGAGAAGAACCTCCCGCAAAAAGTGCTACCCAACGCTTTTTGGGGGCGCCAAGGGGGAGAAGTGCATTTGTCCGTCAGACTGCGCCGAAAGACGTGTGCCGCATCAGTCTGCCTGGGATGTGATGTGAGGAGTGGTTTTGGGACGAGTGCCCGAATATGGGATGCGTGTGTCTGTGGGTGGCTTATGGGCCCCGGGCTTAGGGCCAAGGCTTGGGGGCCCGGTTCGGCGGCATCGTCGTCCTGTTTTCCGTTCTTGTCAGTAGGGTAGACACTCGTTGAGAACACGCTTGTCTGCCGTGCGTCCACTTGTCCCCAGGGTGACCACAGTTTGTCTACGGTTGGCACCCCGTAATTATCCAGAGGTGAGCGGAATTCGTATTGCATTTATCGGAATAAGATGTTGAAACGGAATTCCGAGAGCATCTCTCAGAAGAGAGACAGAGAGATAGAGTGAGAGATGGAGAGAGAGAGAGAGAGAGAGAGAAAGAACCCCCACTCTTGTGAAGATATCAAGGTTTTCGAAGAAAACAAAACTCCCGCGCACGACTACTGTAGCTCGGAAGCGCTCCGGAACGGCACCGATGATTGCGGGGGCCGGGAGTCGAAAATGAAAAACCGGAAACAAAAGCAATCATCACGCGTGGCACATTTTGGCCTCCCAGAGCGGCCACCCAAATCGCTGATGGGGGCCCAGGGCAGAAGGCGTTGTGTGTGCAGAAAAAAAAAGAATAAATTCGCCGAGAAAAATGGAGTGCGATGGGGCCGCGCGGAGGCAACGCGGAACAGCAGGAGGAGCGTGAGAAAACGAGATGTGTGGGGGCCCTTCTATGGGCCCTAGGCTTGTGGGCCTGAAAAAAAGCTGGAGGGAGGGAAGGGGGCCGGGAAAAATAATTCCCGCCAGATGAGAGCCGGGCGGACACACGGCTGCTCGCGGGGGCAGCCAGGAGTGCGGGTGAAAGCTTAGAGGTGAGCAGCAGAAGTAGAAACACCACATCATTCCATCTCCCCATCATAGGGCTGGCTCTAAAAGCCCACAAAAAGCCGCCGGAAGCAGTAAGTTTTTTGGGAACACCCGTAAGTCGTTCGCTACGTGACAATGGATCGAAATGACTTGTTTCTGCTGGCTGTTTTGCGATACGACATCACGTATTTGATAGAGCTTTAAAGTTCTGAACAAATTCCTTTTATGGCGCATCGCGCAATTTACATTTTTAAGCGCGTCCCAGAAATGAACAACCTCAGAAATCACGAGCAATTTTCAGAAGTTTACGCTATATCGGATGAGCGCCAGGGCAGGTGGCTAAATTACAGGATCTCCTAAAATCACGACTTACTTTTTAACTAGATATTTAGATCTTTTAGCTAGATTTATAACAATATTTAGATATATATGGAATTACATTTATTTTTAATTAGCCGTACTTTTTTAGTTAGATATTTATATTGATGAGATGAGCTATTTTAAACGCTTATGCCCGAAACGGCGAACGCTTCTATTCTATACTGGCGGCTCGTGACGACGCGCCAACCCGCCGTGTCGTTGCCCTAAAACCTGAGCCTCCGCATTGGGGAAGTGGAACTTTCCTGGGCCACAGGAGGAGCCCCACAGGGCCACAATGCGCCGGTGACAAGCATGAAAAGAGGCCCCTTTTTGGGCGCCCGCCGCCTACGTAAAGACCATTAACAACAAGGGTGCCGACTAAGGGTTCACTATGACATCAGGTTTTTCTAGAGTAGGCATAGGCTAAATTCTTAGCCAAAGCCTGAACCAGGGCGTAATCCTAAGCCTAGGCCCAAGCCTAAGCTGAAGCCTAAGCATAATCCTGTGTTTAAGCCTAAGCCTAAGCCTGAGCCTATGCCTAAGCCTAACCTTAAGGCAAACTCCAAGGCTAAGCCAAAGTCAAAGCCTATGTTTCAGCCCATGCCTAAGCATAACCCGAAGTAGTAGCCTAAGTCGAAGGTCTAGGCTTAACAAGGGGTGCTTTTTTGAGTCATCGGCAAAATCTTACGAGACCTGGCTCATTCGATAGAGAATTGAATTTCGAGCAAGACTCCGTTGTCTGTTTTTGCGGAATGGCTATCCCTGATTTTATAAAATTAAGATACTAGTAACCGTCTCTTACCATGAGTGCCTTTCGAGCAAAAAGAGAAGCTTTTGGGTGCAGTTTTAAAATTTGATAAAATCAGGGATAGCCATTCCGCAAAAAGGAACAACGGGGTCTTGTTCAGAATCGAATTCTCTATCGAATGAGCTAGGTCTCGTAAGGTTTTGCCGATGACTCAAAAAAGCACTCCTTGTAAGACAGTCCTCAGTGCAACGGTTCGCTAAAACGGTTTTAAACCTATGATTTTCTTGTCCCGCAAAAGCATGAAACTTTATTCATCAGGACCCGTAATGCAACAAAATTTGCTTACTCAGCATATCTTGTCAATGAGAGGCTTCAACCACGGATACAAACGATCAGCAAGGCAATAATTAACTGGAATCAATCCGGCCGGGGGTAGCGGATACTTTATGTAGACATCCAGAAGAAGCATCCCAAGTTGGTACCGGCTCAGTCCTTCCAAAGCGGCCTTGGTGTAGCCGAAGCGGGCTACCAGGTCCTGAAAACGTTCAAGCTTTCCTTATTGGATATATCAAGACAAATCGTGAATACTATCCCCTTCCAGATCACAAACCTTTTTCAAGTCCTCCAGAATCTCGTCGACATGCTTAACACCCTCTTTGGTCTCGCGAATTCGCTTAAATTCCTCCTTCTTCGCCTCGGATTCGAAGCAGCGTGCCCGGTAGACGATCGTCATGCGCAGATCGTCGGTTTTGAACCTTTTAAAACTTCATGGTCGCTCAAGATAAAGTCTACGTCTTCAAAGCATTTCCGTTAGAGGTGAGAGTCCACTTGTCAGCGCCTTGATACACGAGTTTATTGTCGGCACTTTTGTCCATGATTGGTGGTTGGCGGTGTGGGTAATAGATAGTAGCGGCGTGGATCACCTAAACCGCGGCTAAAAAAATTTGAAAGTATTCGAGCTTAGGCTTGGGCTTAGGTTCTAGGCTTAGGCTTAGGCATAAGCTAAGGCGTCGGTTCGACCAAAACTTCATGCACAGGCCTAGGCGTAGGTTTATTCTCATGCTCATAATGATGTCTACGGTTTCTCTTAGGCTTCACTTCGGCACAGGATTAGCCTCCAACACCTCTTCCCTACCTTTGACCCATCCACAAACGACCCAGCGCGAGCCAGTGGTTCTTCATGATATGCACTGAGCGAATTGCTACAAGAAAATTATTTTTCCTTGAATCGATCGACTTACTTCAAGTAGTACACAAATTTTCCGCCCCGGTTTGCATCTGTCCACCTGTGGAAGTAGCCGACCGCCTACAAGACAGATGCTTTCCAGATACAATTTTGCGCTTAAAATTAGGTTCCAGCCACTGTGCCCACCTGGACTTGGTCGATAAATTCGTCTTGGTACAGCCCAGAGTGGGCCATCACTGCCAGAAGCCACATGGGGTACTCGAACCGAGTTGCGTGCGTGAAATAGACGGCATCCAGGTGGAGGGCCACGGATTGGCCGGGTACCTAGGACAGGAGTTTAGAATAATGAAAGAGTATTCCAAGAATTGGGGTTCACTAAAGGAATTTTGGATACAAATAAGTTGTTTAATAAAAGGACTGATAAGCGCATTAATGGTAGATGTACCTGCGCACCTCACGCCCTTCACGCACTGCGCATTAATAAGCTTAAAGAGCTTGGGAACGAAAAAAAACTGAATATCTATACTGAATCTTCAAAAAACCCATTTTTCCCTCAATAAAAAAATGTTAGGCTGGGCATTAACTGTAGGGAGACGTTTGTTACCTATTGAACCCGACCTGGATGATGAAGTTGAACTGGAAAGGGTCGAGAACGGGCTTGTGGGCAGGACAGATGCTCTGAGCCCCGTCGTTAAACTTTTGTGTCTCAAACAACGCCATCACCGTCGGATACGCAGACGCGTTGAAGATGTAGCGACCAAAGGAAAGTAGACGTGAGGCGGAGATCTGAAAATAGCGATAAAACGAGGTCGATGCACAAAAGGGACATTGATAGCTAAAAACACATAATTCAAGCCACCTCGAACTTTTCCTTCTTCCCCTCCACTCCTCCGTACATCATGAAATGCCGGGCGACGTCGATTCGATTTGGGAAAACACAGAGATCGCCTTTCTACAGGGGATATAGGCATTTTTTTAAAACCGGCACCTTGTTTGGCACCAGAAAACTATCCGCACATTTCCCATCATCGCCAATTTTCTGTGCTTCACCGATGTGCTCGTAGACGGTATCGTAGAACTAGGATTACAAACTATGTATGTACCTTTGGAATATAGAAATTCATAGCGTCGAAAGTCATAATGTCGAATCTTATAATGCTGAAATTTCAAAATGTCGAAATATGAAAATGGAAGAATTTTTTCGAAATCCGAAATAAATCGCCAAAATATCATGCCACAGAAAATTTGAACTTTTTGAAAATAAGCCAAGTTTCGCTCGTCATTTGGGGCACAACGGACTAAAGGAAAAATCAGGCTTACCGTAAGATCATTCAGATTTGTCGGAAACTCCTTCATCTCCTTGGCCATCTCCAGCAATTCTTCAGCAATGTTCTCATCGATTAACCCGGGCACAAATACGGCCGGATGGTGCAGCAAATGGTCGGGTATTTTTGGCGTACGATACCAGCGATTCGCAAAATAGGCCAGGCCCACGACGACAATGTACATAATCTTCATCCTGCCCGTGTCAATGGCCATCGCCAGGAAATTCGGTTTTATATATGTTGCATGCTCGTGTTCCTGGGGTTGTTCGGGAGACATAGCCGGCTGATAAGCGACAAACTACAGGTGGTCCAGCTTGGCGGATTGGTAAGGAATTGCTTCGGAATCTGGGAAAGAGTGGAGAATTAGAGGGGTATACTAAGATATTGCTAAGTAAATACGGCGAATCAATAATTCAATAATTAAAAGTCGCCAGCAGTGCGGACCTAGCTTCCTGGCTCCATTAACCTGACTTGCAAATTTAGGAACAAAATTTCACGTATCAAATTCCAAAAAAATTGCGCTGCATTAATCGGCTCGATAAATCGTGTTCTTTAGACGCGATGTGTCTAGTCTGATTTTTTGAAATTTTCATGCATTTCGGAACGTTATCTATGCCTGGCCTGCTTTATTTTCCAACATGCGATTTCAAGGAACCCTTCTTCTCTAACTTTCCGAAAAACCTTCCAGGCCGATGCTTCAAAATCACAGAATATGATAATACAGTTAATTCAAGGTTCTCACCAATTTCCAAGCCTAATTTCCGAGTTCTCCTTGTGCCGAGATTACGGCTAACGAGCGTGCGTGGTGGGGGCCATTATTGGAAATGCGGGGCCCAGGTCACCATGGAGACGGAAGCGCCATAAAATTCTTCTACTCAGCGCCCGTGGGAACCGTGTGAATTGGTGTTCCGGGATGACAATGCTGTTTTGTCGCCACATTTCCTAGTATTCGACGATGTCGGACGATCCGCTCGATCTTCTTGGGGTCGGTTTTTGGTTGCAGTTTATCGATCAATTTTTTTGAAGGAAATTGGCTAGGAATCTAGCAAGTTTTTAGATAACTCTCCTCGACTCGACAAAAAATAATTTGCAAATTCAGCAAAAGAAAAGTCTAAAGGAAAATACTACAAAATGTCCTTTCTTTATCATTCTTTATTTCCAGGGCATGGACGACTTGGACGCGGCGCTTTTCGGAAAAAAGTCCGAGCCCCGGCCAAAGCCCAGTCTCGGCAACCTGGACTCGATCTTTGGCGATTCGAGGGTAGGGCAATAACACCAAAATTTTACGAACCTTCCAGCCGCCCCAACAAAAACGGTCGACGGTCACGTTTGCAGAGCCCGCCTCTCGGCCCACCACAGCCGCATCCGGGGTAAAATTTGTGTCTAGCATGGTCTTGTATGGGGTGTGATAAGTTCCCGAGGAATCACCTGAGAGAGCTGCTCGACAAAAATTGAAGCTACAAACTATGGGTTTCTGGATGTTTGTCATTTGGAAGGCCTTAACAGCCAGTGCTAAATATTTTCAACGAAAACGTTTTCTGTGAGTTTTTGAGGCGGTTGAAAGTAGGCTATTTGGACCTTTTTGGGCACTAAAAAACCTCGCAATTTTTTCAAAACCGTCGTTCAGCGTTTTTTGAAAGCGGATTCGGAATCAGCGAAAAAATTGAAAAAAGCCTGGGGTACAGTCACTACTCCGAAAAATCACTACTCCGAAAAGAGACTACTCCGAAAAGCATGAATATTAGTAAAACCTGCCCTTCCTGTTGTTTCTCTTGTTCAGCTGTGTATTCGGGGAGTTCATTGGCACGCTTTAGATGCAACTGAAATGAATGTGATTTTTTCAGGTAAATTTTGGCTTTTTTAAGAGTAAAGCACTAAAAGCTTAAAAGAAACATGCAAATCCCAGCTTTTTATGAAAAAGCAAAAATCCTCGTCACCACCGGGGGTCGAATTCGTACCCCGTTCGCGGCAAGCGAGCACAAAACTAATGCGCCAACAGGCTGACGGATAACGAACTAATAATACATCGCTAAAATCACCAAGTGGTCTTTTTTCGGAGTAGTCTTTTTTCGGAGTAGTCTCTTTTCGGAGTAGTGACTTTTCGGAGTAGTGACCGGACACAGTAAGCCTAGACCCAAGCATGAACCTAAGCCTAGGCCCAACCCTTTTCAGCCCTCCCGCTCAAATCTCGACTCGTTATTTGGAGAACCGCTGCCAAAACCGTCGGTGGCCGAATCGAGAGCCCCAGCGGCTACCCAACCTGCAGCAACCACAAGGTATGTGACATTTCTATCATTAACAAGTTTTTAGACCACGAGCTCGTGGTTCCGACTTATTCGGTACATCAAGCTCCCAGCCAGACCCTGGTCCTTCTGCACCACCTCCACAGCCTTCAGTACAGCCGCAACCGGATGCCGAATCGGTTTATCGGGTTCAAAGGTAGGTCGTGATCATTTCATGGTTGTCGTTACTAATCAATGTTTCTTTCCTGAAAATATAAGCCGACATTTTCCATTTATATAAATTATATATATATATATATAATTTTTTCAGATTGGAGAAAGAAGTCGAGCGGCTCAACCGCGAGATCGAGGACCTCGGCCGACGAAAGAAGCGTGATGAGGAGGACCTCGAAAAAGAGTGGCGAGATCGACTATCTAGCAAAGAGAAAAGCTGGTTGGAAGAAAAGGAAGAGCTGATAAAGGGATATCAGTAAGCTACCCTCAAGTACAAATTTACACAGCACTTTAGGAAACAGCTGACCAGGCTAACCGAACAAAGTGAAACCGATCAGGAGCGCTTGAGGGAAAATTACTCAAGGCAAATGGAAGCCCTACAAACCACGGGAAGCCGATCAAGGTAGTTTTCTAGTTTTTAAAGAACGTTTTTGTTCAGAGATCTTGTCGATGTGGTCGATAAAGTGGATCGATTGAGCGAACAAATAGGCGCAATCGTCCAATCGGTCGGAGGATCCGAGGAGAAGATGCACAGCGACCTTGAAATGACCCTAAAGCTCCGTGAAGGGCAGTTGGAGATGCGTGAGCACAAGTAAGCTCGATTCCAACTATTTAACTATTTTTTGAAGTCTGAAAACCGATTTGGAACGATTCCAAACGGACAAGGAGAGCGTCACTCTGTTGAATATCAAACTGAAAGACCTTGTCCAGGCGCAGGAGCACGATATTCAAAGGGTAGTTAAGATACAACAAGACGAAGACTAGATTTATAGGAAAAATGGAAGATCCGCGATGAATGGAATCGCCTGGGCGCCGAACGCAAAGTATTCAAGGAAGATCAGAAATTTGTCCTCGACAGTATCGAAAAACAAAAGCGGACTCTGGAGGCTGCGAAAGTAATGCGTCTAACCAGATCTGAAACGATTGATACTTAGGAATCGTTCTTAAAAGAGCAACACGATTTGCTGATTCGTGTCAGCAACGAAAAAGAGGGATTGGATCGCGAGCTTCAGCAATTCCACGTGAAACGGACGGCCGATGTTCGAAGATTAAAGGTATACAAAAATGCATGAGGGTGCAGGAAATGTACAAATCGTTAGGAGGAAGCCACCCAACTGCAGCAACGAATCCAAAACGTGCAGCTGGCGGAAGAACACGCGGAATCTCTGCGGCAACATTACGAAACGAAATACAAGCAGGTCGGTTTTGAAAAAGTTTCATTTCATTTCCGGATTTCCAAAAAATTGGTCTTCTTGCTATTTTAAAGCCTTAGCGCTGGATTTAAGCTTTGCGAACTCGAAGTCTCGCTGATGGAGGAGTGCATTGAGCTAGAGAATTTGCGAAATCGAACGACGGCATCCGATGCCGCGGGACCTGCTCCGACACACCAGGGCCTTGTCATGGCGATAAATCGGTAGGTTTTTCAGAAGCAACGCTTTGTAATTTGCCTCCCATCCAGCAACTCACGATTTTTGTAGGGTTGAGAAGCGATCACCGTTCCCCAGCTCATTTCCCATGCCGGATGTGCCGATTAGTGAGGACATAAAAGACAGGTAGTGTTTAGTAATTGCCTCGAGAATCTCTATTTGTCAATGCAGGACTAGGCTTAAGACCTGAGCTTAGGCTTGGGCTTGGACTTAAGCTTAGGCTTAGGCGTAGGCTTAGGCTTGGGCTCAGGCTTACAATTAGGTTTAGGTTTGGAATAACTCTCACCAAGAGGGCAATAAAACAAATAGCATAATTACAGGTCAGCCAGCGTGCGCGCCGTCCTCCAAAAACACGCCGACTTCCTGGAGAAATACAGCGGACAAAGGGTGGCCGCAGTTGCCCCGCGGAACGCCTCGTCCGAGGAGTGGGCTGAAACTGGTTGAGCATTGGCGCCCGATGTTCGTTTTGTTAGCGCGACTATTCATTAAGTTTTTTTTTGCAATTCATATAGGATTTTTGGATTACTAATTATTTCAGCTCATCGATTTTCTGACTACTGTGATTGCCAGTCTTTCAAAATAATATTGATAAAGCTTTTGCTTCTTACGGTATCGTGATCGAAAATACAGGTTAAACGAGCTAACTAACGTGCAATTAAATTTGGCTCTATCCACAGGGTGTCCCAAAAAAATCGCCCCCCCTATAGCGGGCCGCAGAAGTGTTCGATTTTGACGATTTAGGTATCTATCGTAAGCTCTTGGACAGGCGCGAAAACGGGCACTTTTTATTTTTCAATACAAGCATTTTAATTCACTAAATTTAGGACAAAAATCGATGAAAACTGGAGATTTTATGCAAAATCCGCATATTAATTGCTTGTTCAAGCAAACAGGACGGCGCTGATTTTACGCTTTTTTTGAAGAAATTTTTGAATCTCGAGCGCCGGCTAGAAAATTTTGATAAACGAAAAGCGCTTGTTTTCTTGCCTTTCCAAAAGCTTTCGAGTTGTGTAAAAACCATCCCTATCCGAGCTTTCTCCGAACTGTTAGAGGGTGGTCGATTTTTTGGGACTTCCTGTAACTATGGTTGGAAAAATACCAAAAAATGGATTTGTTGCCATGAAACCTGGATTATTTCATGCAAAAACCAGTCGTGACCGCCGTCATTGATGATCATTTTCCTAGGTTCCAAGGGGAAAACTCTAGGCTAGAAAGTGAGTCACCAGTCCCCGAAATGGTTCTATTTGGAAGGCATCCCTCCACTCTAACAGTGTCTCCCCCTTGAATGTGTCCCCCCGCATCGGGTCACCAAATCGATCGATCCGAGGGGCAGCCATGATTAGGCACCACCCAGCCTCAATCTGTCGAACACCTGTCTGTTCGCTTCGCTAACCACCCTTTTTACCCAGCCGTGACTTCCGCTTTCTTTTCGGAACCAACAGACGCACCCAGCCCACACACCGAATACAAACCATTCCGCCCCTTTTCATGGCGTGTTGGAGGTGCGGGATGGCCACAGGGCAAATTTCTGATATCTCGATTCCAACATTTTATTATTGTTTTGAAAAATCTCTGCAAATAACAGATTGTTCATGCCCTGAATTAATTGCCGTAAACGTTTCGCATCCGTTCTATCATTAAGACATTCATTTACGATGTGGGTATTTTCATTATGATGTACCGAAAAGTGGCTCCGATTCGTGTCTAGATCTTTGCCGAAGAGTGAATCATTCCGGGATACCCGTCGTAATTGTTTCGTAACCATGCAAATTTGTATACTGTCGTGCTCCGGCTCAGTTATGGGCTAAGGCTTATGCTCAAGCCCCATCATGAAAACTATCGGGGGGACGATCGTTACTTCTAAAATGATTACTTCGAAAAGTTGGTGCGTCGGATTATCAGTGTTTCGGCAAATTTGGCAATTTTAATTCGCAAATCGACGCTAAGAATTTCGGAAGTAGTAACTTTCAGAAGTAATATTTTTAGAAGTTATAACTTTTTGCAGAAAGGATCCTTAGAAGTAATGATTTTAGAAGTAATGATGGTTAGCCAATCCGATCGTATCGAAAGCCACCATAAAATAGCTATATGCTTCGACATCTGGTCGCAGTGGCTTTTTATGCTCCCATCCACCTCTGCTTCAACTGCCATTTGTATCCCAGTGTTCTCCTCTTTTTCACTGTCATCTTTCTTCCTAAATCGCAGCATCTACTTACTAGACAGGGCAAATGAGACGCTTTAGATACGCGGATGCTAAAATTCATCAGGTCACATCTCACCAGCCCCGATCGGGCAATCGAACGCGAGCTCTGGGATTATGTTAATTTTGGGAAGGCAAGAATGACGCCTGTTTTCTTAGAAAACTTTTGTAGACGACCCAACATGGGTTTCCGAGCAAGACGAACTGTTTTGCGTATGATTCGGAGCTACAACTCCTCGCGGTAGCTGCTGAAACTGGAGATGTTACTTTGTAAGTTGTTAGATATCGAGAGATAGAGAGCGAGAGAGAGAGGGAGGGAGGGAGGGAGAGAGAGAACCTTAACGATGTATTCATATTCTAATCCTTTTCCTTTCAGCTTTGGCGCCGATAATTTTCTCTGGCACACAACATTGGAAACCCGCTCACCGGTTGCCCATATTTTCTTCGCCGATGGGATGGCCACTGCCCTCGTCCTTTGCCACGACCAAAGCCTTCATAGAATCAGGTATGATATTCTTTCACCTCAAGGTATTTCGATTAAGGATATCTGGACGTTTTCTGACCGTCAGCAGTACTGGTCCGTTCAAGGAGCTGAACAAGATTACCTGCTGCTCGATGTACACCGATCCATCGACTTTGAAAATTGCTCTCTTGATTGGTGGGTGGGATTGTTCGACTTCTTTTAAGCTCTGACATATTTGGACTTAGGCTTGAGTTTAGGCTTACGCGTGGGCTTAGGCTTCGGGATATCCTAATATCTCTTTAAATAATTGACACTCTTTAGGCAACAACCAAGGTGATATCCATTCGCTGGACCTTGAAGATTTGAAGCTTTCCGATTTTTTGACGTTCAAGGGGGAGCTGGCCAATAGGTAGGTTAATAACGGACCTTTACTTGGAAAGGAAGCCGAATCTGCTATGTTGCTGCTGGATATCTGCCAAGCTGATGTTAGACTCTTCATTCCAGAATCAGCCTCTCAAACGAAAAGCCCATTCTCCAAGGGCTTGACAGCTGCAGAACCGAGCCGAATCGGCTGCTGTTGAGCTACGAGAAGACGTTGGTCGTTTATGATGTGTCGGTTCGTGAAGTTCTCGCCAATTGGACGCTTGAGTCGGAGCCGATGGTCTGTTGCAACACTCAATAGAATTATAGCGTATTAGAAAGGAGTTTCATATCAAATATTATGTAATTTCAGGCCGCCCACTGGTCACTGGACGGAAAATTTGTGACTGTCGCCTCTAGTGATGGAAGCTTTCTTACTTTCGCTCCAAAAGGAGAATCGCTCGAGACCCCGGGTATCATTTTTGGACCATTCCCTTGCCAACCCGTCAACAAGGCACTCTCCACTACCACACACCTGTAGGTTCTTCAGATACATGATGCAATTTTACAAGCGTACTTTCATTATAATTCATTCGAAAAGCAATGCTTCTTTTTAGCGGTACCCTACATGCGTTTTCTGGTGGAATGCCGCGGGCCTCCTACGGCGATCGGTATACGGTGACGACAATCCGGACCGGACGCACCGAGTGCTGGGATTTTGCATCGCCGGTCAAAGATTTTTGTTTTGCTGGGAGTCATACAGGTTAGTAGAGGCACCAAAAAATCCCCAAAAAGACGTTGAATCTGAAGGAATATCGCGCTGTTTCGATGCACTAACAATATTTTCAAGTCAATCATGGCGAAAATATAACAGATATGCTTTTAAGCTTTATAGGACAGTCCTCCCCTCTATTCCTCCTTGTGCTCACTGAGGAAGAGCTTGTCGTGCTCTCAGTGGGTGGGAAGGAGTGGCGTCCGATTCCGCTGCGCTGCCTTTTCCCGCTTCACGCATCGGCCGTCACGACGATGACCCACGTAGCTGACATTGAGGAGGAAGTGTGGGATCGGTTACACAAGGTAAAAAATACCCTTCCTTCCCTAAAAAGTTCTTTCAGCATTCCCCACATAAGCGGGCGACAATAGCTAACTGGCCGCTTTCCTACGCACAACAGATGGCCCAAAGAACATCTGAACACAAGGAGCAGCTGTTGTTAACAGGGTAGATATCTGATTGCTACAAAGACCCTATTAAGATTCCATATTTTCCAATATATTATTCCCATTCCATATCCTTTATCTCCTATTAAGTCAAAACACACCGTTTAGACATGCCAACGGTAACGTCAATTTGTGGACGGCCGGGGAAGCGTCGATGCAGTTATTGTACTGTATTGAGACAGCTACAGAGGTGGCCGGATGCTCGGAGAGAGTTAAAGCAACAGCAAAAATATATAATAAACTTTTAGAAAGAATCGTTTACCAGAAAATCGCTCGAGAGTGACTCAGAGGAGAGTGAATGCCACTTGACGGACGAGTGGCCACCGTTTAGGAAGGTAAAGTTTTAGGCTTCGGCTAGTTCTTTTTCCATCCTTCAGGTCGGGGACTACGATCCTTGTTCTGACGACGTCCGTCTATCCGTCCAGCGACTTGCCTTTGACCCCAAGACCGGGACGATAGCTGTCGGATGTCGTGGTGGCCATGCGTTCGTATACCAATTTTGCGAGAATCCACAGGTAAAATTTAGACCCTGTTGCATGGCAAAGCTTATAGACTTGTGATGCAGCCTCCGTCTTGGACTGCTCGCTGCTGAAGGACACCTCTGGGATTGCACCGGCCATCCGATCACTTCGAGGGATTGAACCCCGGAATCATAGCTTGAACTTCACCGCCGGCTACCAGCCAAGGCCGGTTGATGAGTCGTCCGGAAGGTGCGTGACCTCGATAAAGTAATTACTTTGCAAAACCTTTAGTCTTTTGGTGCAACTCTCGCCATGTGTACCAATCACAGCAATTGCCATCTATGACGAGCGATCCCTTTTGGCAGTCGGGACCGAATTTGGATTCGCATTGATCGACTACCAGAAAACGAGGATCATCCATCAGCAATCGTTCCTCGACCATACAGGTTGGTTTTCTCCTTAGAGCTTCTGAAGATGCATTAGACCTTGCCGACGCGGGTGCTTTGGACGATGCCTTGAATCGATTCAAAAGCATGAAAAAGTCGATTCGACAATCTTTTCGCCGAAAGAAGAAAGCAACCAGCAATGATACAACTTTGGTAGGCTCAAATTTCGCTATCTAATTCTATCTTATACTTTTTAGAACAATGAGCATGAGGATGAGTTGTGCCGGCCAGTTGAGCGGCGGATAGAGGCGCGTGGTGCTCTGACGCAGGGACTCATCATCGAGCCCTCCAAGGGACTAGTCAGACTCATCAAATTTGTCCCAAACATCGCTCTCGGTCACGCACAAGGTGATACAGTATGGATTGGGACTCATGGCGGAAGATTGTATGGTTTCTCATTGTCCGCAAACGGCGAAGTAAGACTCTACTTTGATGCTAAAAAAACTCCATTTTAGTGCAAGCTCGAAAGAGAAATCCGGCTCCAACATGCTGCGCCGGTTCGAAGTATCGAAGTGGTGACAGATCCCAACAATAAGGTTAGTTCAATACAGATAAAATCTAGTAAAAATCTCGACTTAGAACTCACCTGCCAGCCGATTACTGCTGATCACCGAAGAACAAGTCCGGGGCTACACTTTACCCCAACTGAAACCCACCAAATATAAAGTGAAGCTGACCGCCAATGAGGGATACCGAATCAACAAAGGCAGCTTGGTCACCCTTAGACAGACCAAAGGTAAGGCACCTCAACGATTTTTTGGTACATGTTTTAGGCGATCCCTCTTCCGACGTCTTTCTGGCCTTGATCACCAATATGGGTGGTATTCTGGTGTATTCGCTGCACAACCACCGTAAAAACGCTAAATTCACGCTTACCAAGGTAGGTGTCAGGCTTAGGCTTAGGTTTTGGCTTAGGTTTTGGCTTAGGCGTAACTTAGGCTTGGCCTTAACCCGGGGTAGGCTTGAACTCTAGGCATGGGATAGACTTAGGCTTAAGCTTAAATTAGGCGAAAAGAAGCCTGCTAGCCTTACACATTTTAAAGAAATCTGGAAGTCAAAAATAATTAACTGTCTCTAGGCTACCGACGTGGCCGGGATCAACTCCTCAATCCTGTCCCAATACGGTGAAATATTCTGGCTTCGAGCCGGGGCTTCACTCCTCCAACGTGCCTCGCTATGCGCTCCGGAAGCACCACCGCCAGTGCCGGTGGAATAGACCCACACCTTTGTAACAAAACCCTTTGCATTTTGTGCCCTCCTCAAGGTCCTCATATCAAACCTGTGATGCCCCCCAAATTACCTTCAAAATGTACCCTCCAGTTGGCTTTTTCGCTTGCTTTACCAAATTCCCGAATCAAAGACGTTTTGCGTGTTTTTGTTGCAGCTGCATTTAGAGATTTCTATTAAAGTGTTTGAACTGCTCATTTTTGGCTAAGAATATTTTGAAGAAAAGCAAGCTGATCGTAAAAATGAAAGTATCAGAATAGAAATCCGAAGCCAAAACAAAATGTCGTTTCAGTTTATGATCAAAGTGGTGAGGTGCCAGACGGGGCCAGGGTTGGAAAGTCGCGAAGCGGGTTTTCAACCCTGGTTTATATTTTACCAGATGGTTACAGTCGCTTCGCGACTGCAACCATCTGGCCTTCGGGCTACCCTACATGTCCCACTCCACCACATCCTTTCCCACCTCCATCAATACCCCCCATAGCCGAAATCCCCTTCAAAAACTACATCGATAACTTCCTGATGGCTTCAGATACCCCCCATGGCTGAAATCCCCTTCAAAAACTACCTAAATACCTTCCTGATGGCTTCAGACACCCCTCATGGCTGAAATCCCCTTCAAAAACTACCTAAATACCTTCCTGATGGCTTCAGACACCCCTCATGGCTGAAATCCCTTCAAAAAACTACCTAAATACCTTCCTGATGGCTTAGACACCCCTCATGGCTGAAATCCCCTTCAAAAACTACCTAAATACCTTCCTGATGGCTTCAGACACCCCTCATGGCTGAAATCCCCTTCAAAAACTACCTAAATACCTTCCTGATGGCTTCAGACACCCCTCATGGCTGAAATCCCCTTCAAAAACTACCTAAATACCTTCCTGATGGCTTTAGATAGGTACAATTCGGATAAGCGGGGTGGAAAATTTTAGGCTGGGGGGAAACCGAACTTTTTTCCGCCCAAGCCTATATTTGTTATATAAATAGTGGAAGTGTTTCTAAATTGTTTATAGCTATTCCGAAACAAAAACTTTACAAACTTAATTAAAAAATTTAATTTTAGGTCGAAAAATCAATTTTTTCGGCCCAAAAATCACCAAATTTTCGACTTTTTCAAGCGTTTTTCTAACTTTTTAAAAAGTTTTTCCGATTCAAATAGGCTTAAATTTTGCTAAAAACAATGTGAAAACACTCTATATTTGATTACTATCCCCACCAGGGCCGACAAAAAAAAAAGTTGGTTTCCCCCCCGCCTAAAATTTCCCCCCCCCCCCGCTTATCCGAATTGTACCTTTAGATAACCCCCATGGCTGAAATCCCCTTCAAAAACGACCTAAATACCTTCCTGATGGCTTCAGATACCCCCCATGGCTGAAATACCCTTCAAAAACTACCTAAATACCTTCCCGATGGCTTTAGATGATTTAACTAATTAATTAACATAATTAAAAAGTATTAAAAAGTATTAAAAAGTATTAAAGTAACTTAAAAAAGCTATTTGGGCGCGGGAAAGGGCCTGGGGAAGAGGGGCGAAGGGAAAGGGGGCGTGGCCTCCCGGGAGAGGGGCCCCCACCCCTTTTACTAAGGAAAAACTTTCAAAGTTAATTTTAATAATTTAAACAAAAACTTTTTCTTAATTTTTTATCAGTTTGGGGGTTTCTGACCACGCTCTACCCGAATCCGAAGAGAGCTAACAAGGAGTGGTTTTTTAGTGTCATTGGCAAATCCCTTAGCGACCGAGTTCATTCGATAGAGAATTGAATTCTGAACAACCTCCCGGGGTTCATTTTTGCAAAACGGCTCTCCCTGATTTTATAAAACTAAAAAACTAAAAATTCATTTTTACGTACCCCGCCTGGGGCGGCCAGCCTACTAGGACTCCCCTAGGACATGAGCTCTCTTCGCCTCCACCTGTCACCATGGGACGTGGCCTAGTGGTTAAGGCTTCCGCCTTCAAAACTTTTTTGCATCTTTGTGGAAAGTTCGGTTCCTTGGTAGAAAATTTGTTTTGCTTTTTGTTAATAAAAGCGTTTGCAGACGCTTAAATAAGTTAATTTATTCAAAATAACACTTATTACAACGTTGGCTGCTCTGCGCGCATTCAGGAAAATTTACAAAAAAAACAACAAATATTATGGTCCAGGTTAGTGTGAGTCCTCTCAATTTGAAGTACAACCTGTTTAAAAATACTGGGTCCACTTATAATACAAAAAGCAAAATAAATTACATCTACAAAAACCGAACTTGCAAGAGATAGAAAAATAAAATTTGGAAGACAACCGCGTTAGCCGCTGCGCCACGCTTGATCCTGTGGGGGGCCGCGCTGAAGGCCTCTTCCCCTTGAGCGAGCCACGCATGAGTTTGATGCGGCGAACCGACGGTTGGCCAAAATTCAATCTAAAGTTTTTTAATTTTAAAAAATCAGGGAAAGGCGTTTTGCAAAAATGAACACAGGGAGGTTGTTCATAATTCAATTCTCTATCGAATGAGCTAGGTCGCGAAGGGATTTGCCAATGACACTCAAAAACCACTCCTTGTAAGCTCTAGCTCCTTTCCCCTTCGAGTTGAATTCGGCTTCGGACGGACAGACGGACGGAGACCACAGCAAAATTATTATAGTTGATTCATATTTTTTATGTGAGTAAAATGAAATTGCTATGCTCTTAAGTTATGCAGTTCGTTTAATACTGATTTGTATCTGGGTTTGCATCGTATTTTTGATTAGCGGAAATATTTACCCCAGTGAATTTCTGATATCACCCCCGGTGTCTAAACCAGCTGTTCGCCCTGAGCGTGTTACGCTGTTGCCAACAGCACCTCGTTTTTTGGCAGATTGGCCCTGGTGACCGGTGTCCGTCAAGGGGTTCGGGTTGGCTGTTTCTTTCTACCCGGGCGATCACGAGCGATTGGAGGGGCTCTGCCCGGAAGGCCCTTTCAATCAACCACCAACAACGGCAAAAGGAAAGAGAGGGAACTCGGGTGGGGTGATCCGAGCCTCTGGGTCCCGCCACGCTCTCCTGAGTACGGTACCGTTACGACTTCGCATCCCGTCCCCACACCAGGCTCGACAAAAGAGGCTCTAAGGGAAAGGCTGGAAAGAGGGGAAAAGAGAGAAAGAGATGGATGGCTATGGCCGGACCGAGGACACCGCCGACGGCTCTCCGGAATCTAGGCCACCGGCTCGGTCTATGTCTGTCGGTGTGTCTGTATGTCACATACATACACAGTTCATCCCTCCACGCACATTCATCCCCCCACCTATCCAACCTCGCCCCGTTTTTCTCCACGTAGACTCGGCGCGTGAGCGCCCGCGCGCGGTGGCTGCCGCTGCCAATCCGTTTTTTCTGTCGTCGCCGAGAAGCCAGACGACGGGGTTTATTGTTTTTCGGGTACCTTGGTTTTGAGACTCGACCACGAACTCGATTCTGTGCTTGCTTACAACCTAGCTGACCTTATTCTGAAACATAACAAGCCGATTCTTGTCAAATTTACGGTTAAGCTCAACCGGGCTCGTTTTAAGGGCATTGTAATAGATAAATTGTACTCTTATCAGACTTCAAATTGCTCGTATTCGTTCGCTCGAGCTCGAAAAAAATTGAAATTCCTAAGCCGGCTGTTTTTCAAATATTGATCTTATTTTTCAAATCCTATTATATCCCAGATTCGGTTACAGTTTTCGGTTCCCGTCTCCCAAACCACAATTTGGCTCGTTCTTTTTCTAAATTCTCGGCTCACAAACCCTATGACTTCCTGGCAACCCAACAGCCACTCCCTAGCGACCGTTGCCCCAAACGGATACATTATTTTTATGGTGGTCAGTCGTTGTTGTTTTTCCATCGTGATAGATCAACAAAAGCTACTTTTGACTGACAAATTTTGATTGACAAATTAGCAGGTCGTCCTCGTGGTTTTTGATGGCCTAATTTCGTGGCGTAATGCGTCGGTTTATAAGCCTTTGCGGGTAGCTTCGGAGCGTTTAAAATCGCTGCATTCATCCTATTCAAAAACCTATCAACGACGTTGTATGCAAACCTAAACTAACCTTTTTTGCGAAGTTTGATGATCTCTGAATTGCTGACTTCGGTCCAGATTTGATGTGGAAAGCTAAATAACTCATCGGATCCTGGACTAACCCCCCCCCCCCCCCCCGAATCCACCAAAAAAACAAACCTAGGAAGAACATGTGCTCGAATTACGCCTCCTCGCCAAAAACAAATATTTCCCCATAGCCTTGGGAGTACTGTAGCAAATTTTGGCACAACACTTTTTGCTCGACTCTGTGAGGGCGGTGGAGGAGGAGAGCGTGGGCCGAATAAGGAAAAAGACGGTGGAAAGACGGTATATTAGCGGCCATTTTATCTGCGTGTCGGATCGGAGGTCGAAGAAGGAGGAGGAGGAGGAGGACGAGGAGAACCAGGGAGTGGATGTGACCTCGTGGGCCATCTCATTCCCGCAAAACATTCCCTCCTTCCTTAACCCACCAACTTCCTCGCAGTCCGTCGACAAATTTGGTAAGTTGGGTTATTGAAAGTTGACGCCTAGGCCTAAGCCTAAGCGAGGCATAAGCGAAGCCAAAGCCTAAGCCCAAGCTACCCACCCTCGCTCGGTACATTTAACCCAGGGATATCTGGTTGATCCTACCAGTGTCGATATGTAAGTAGGATCAACCAGATATCCCTGGGTTAAATGCACCGAGCGAGGGTGGGTACTAAACCTAAGCCTAAAGAAAGCCTGAAGTTAGCTTGGGAAATGCTTCCTGCATCACTTTCTTCGTGCTCTGTCGAGAACTAGTGGGCAGAAAGGGTCGATTCTGGCATACCTCGGCCCCTTTAAAAGTCTTCCTTATAAGCTGAAGATCTTGGTGGCAACATTGCGGATAGAAACCTCATAAAAATGTATATGATCAAGGCTTAGCTGTTAAAACTGCGATAAAACGTGGACCTCACCGATAACGCTTAGCTAGCTGGCTTTGAGTAGTTTGGCTAG